GCCTTCTTCCCAGGGCTGAGAGAGAGTGACTGGCCCAACAGATTATGAGATTTATAAAGTCCAAAGCTTCTGGAATGCATTAGATGGCCTCCGCCCCGCCCCGCCCCACAGCAATCATCAGATCACAAACACTGACCTCTTTTGCCACGGCTATTTTCTCTGCAGCAATGCAATAGACAATTTGCCTCAATAATTCAGGAGTGTTAAGGATTTCTCTAATAGTGACAGGATCTTCAACTACTCTTCCAACCTAGAGGTTCAACACAGTTTGGAGTCATTGGACAGTTTCCAACTTCTATTCTTCTTCTATTCTTACTTTTGTCCTTTAAGGCTCATTCTTAGCTGTCCTTTCTGCTATTTTCTACTGCATTGTGGTTTCATAAATGGAAAGTTTAAAAACAATTACTCGAAGCATTTGCATTCCACTTACTTGCCAAGATTCTTAAGGCGATTACTGTAATTAGACACAAATGGCATTCAAAGACAGGCAAAATTAATATACAGTATGCCTCCTCCAGTGTTAAATGTTTCAGATGCTTACAGTGCATACATGTCAACAGAGAAATGCATGGCAGGACAGGATCTCATTCTTAACCCCTTGATGAGATTACAAGGCATTTAACCAGCTAAACTGCAGCACGTACTTGGGAGATGGTTAGGATTTTGACTGAATCATCGGGGTGGAAGAGTCCCTTCTGAAGTTCTTCCCCGAAGTTTTGGATTACATCCAAGGGATCCATGACTTGCAGGAATCTCTCCAAGATAGACGCGCATAAAGAGATCTGCTCACTGCTTTGCAAGGGAAAGGAAAACCCAGCAGCTTGCTAGTGAAATAAGGAACGGCTCTGACACAGGGCAAATCAATCCAAAATACGTGCACTCGCTCCTCTATGGTCCTGCCCTTGTGCAAAATTCTTGAAAGCCCAAACTCTCCACCGTCAGACACCCATCGTCAACGAAGAACTAATTGTTCACAACGACCAGAAGCTTCTCTCCCCCCACCCCGCCCACGACTCTCCATGCAAACTAACCACACCCCCTCCACAACCTTGCACAAGCACTCACCAGCAACTGCATAACTTACGGGCAGCATTTAATCAGAGTCACCAGTTTCCCACCCTGTGGTTGCCCTCTCTTACCATGATTAGGGTCATTTCAAGCCTTCCCCCTTTATAATGCAACATTTTGAGGAAAGGCGGGGAGAGGAGCGACTAGAGACCAGGAGGCATAAGGCTTGCAACTAAAAAAGCTAAACTAAATAGTCACACACATAGAAATACGTAAACCCCTATTTTATATGTGCACGCACACGCACATTCATGCACACAAAGTCAGACTTTAAGGCTGGTCCTGAGATTGGTCCCAGCTCCCCAATGAGGACTAGCCCCTTGGCGAAAGGGACTCAAATCCGCCCTTACCTATCCCCGCGGGCCATGAGGACGAAGAGCCCAGCCAAGGGGAAGCCAGGGCCTCGCTCGCGGAGGGCGCCGGGGGGCAGGGCCTGCACGGCCACCCGCAGGGCCCGCAGCTCCTCCAGCGGCTCCTCCAGCCTAGCGATCCGCCTCAGCAGCGCCAGCGCGGCCTCCACCTCGCCCGCCGCCATCTTGGAAGGGGAGGGGCCGTCTCGCGAGACTCCAGCAAGGGAGGCGGAGCGAAAGGCGCCCTTCGCGTCCGTAAGACTGCGCAGGCGCGGGGCCGCCTTCATTGTTGCGACGGTGGCGGTCACGCCGGCGCTGCGGCTGCTGATTGGATGGAGAAGCCGGGCGGGAGGTGGGAGGAGGAGGAGGAGGCCCCACCTACTCCCAAGAGGATGACCCTGCGCGGATGAAAGGATGAAACCACATTTCCGTGTTTCCCAATGAAACCCCTATGCGGGGCTAACGTGACGCCTCTCGCTGCCGAGAAGCCTTTTAAAAATTAAAAAAAAAATTGTCCCAGCCAGAATGTATTAGCAAGCCTCTGACACATGCCTGTAAGTTCAAGGGCTGCCGCGCGTGCACTTTGGGGTCTCTACCCCGCTTCCTCCGGGTTCAGTTTTTTACCCCAAATGAAGGGTTGCGTCACTCTTTCTATACCTCTATAACTCTCAGCTGTGTTTTGAAAAGTCACCTCCTAAATCAAGTGGGCTCAAAGCTTAAGGGAAATCGGACGCTTGATCCAGTTTCAGCCCCAGTGAGTCTCTATTTAGCCAGGGACTAAAGCTCAAGCCAAGGGCAGATAAAGTCAAAAGCAGGAGGAGGAGAACAGTGCCTCTGAGCATGTCTAAACTTTTGTCCTTTCTTCCCCTCCTGCCCCCATCCCTGCTAACAAGCAGCAATAATAAAGAGCCAGAAGATTTTGAGTCTCAGAAAAAAAAATCCCACAAAAGTCTTTTTTTTTTAACATTCTGCACAAAGACACTTCCCTAATTTTTGCAGCAAAATGTGATGCGCGTCTTACCCAGAAGTAACTTCTATTAACAGACTTCCATGTTTCAAAGAACACGGCTTCTATGGAACTTTCTTATAAGATCGTTGAGCCTGATTAGGACTTGGATGGGAGACCACAAGGAAATCTATCTCACCACTCTGGCTAGATTGAGATGGATGGATGGATGGATAAATATTTAGAGAGAGAGAGATTCGGATGGATGGATGGATGAATGGATGGATGGATGGACGGACAGGCATACAGATAGATAGATAATAGATATAGATAATAGATATTGAGAGAGAGATGGATGGATCAGTCCTGGAAAAAAGTAACAGTAAACCACTTCTGTAGTTCCTATACTGTTGCCAAAAAACCCAAGCGTGGATGCATCCATGAAATCACCAGGATTTCAAATATATAAACATGAATTCAAATAGGATAAAAGATGTTTTGTTCTGGAAATATGATTTAATTTTCTTTCATTATGTGGGAAGTCATTTTCTTCCTTTCTTCAAGGCTGGTGATTGTGACCCACCCCCCCTTATATTTTTATTTCTTCAGAGCCAGATCCTTTTGGAATCTCCAAGTTTATTAGCCTGCTCACTGACCCAGCCTATTTAAAACAGAGGGAACAAAGCATCTTCTACACCAGTGGTTCTTAAAAGGGAAAGACTTACCCCAAAGGGGTAAATGGGGCACATCTTAGGGGTAATTGAGCCATTTGTAGTTGTTTGTGAGTTGAGGATCCCGTTTGGGGCTGCCGCCACTGAGATGGTTGTGCAAAACCAGAGTGTGGATTTTTTTGTGGGGGTTATGACACTATTCGAGACTGGGGAAAGGAGTCATTCGGTTAGTTTATAAAGCTCTGTGCCTACTCCCTGCAAGCCAAAGGGGACTTCTCCAGGGAAGGTCAGAATGCTTCCAAACGCTTGCAAGAAGTCCTACTGAAAAGGCAAGGGGGTGTCGGGGGGCACAGAGAGAGAGAGAGAAGTTTGATTATGAAGCTGCGTCTTTTATTGTTTGAAATGCAGCGACATAT